CCCCTGGCAGGCAACACACCTCCCTTGAGACCGGGTCAGGCCAACAGATGGTGCCTCTGTGTCTTTCAAGGTAGTGTCCCCTACTGTAATGGCCCACCGCTGTTTCCTGGAAGCACCAGTAGTGATCCTCTTTACTGGTGCATCAGCTGCTTGTTCATTTGACGTGGTGGCTGTTTCCTCGTTAGCCCCCCCCAGAACTGCGAAGTGGTCGGTGTAAGCTACCATCCCCTTTATTACATTTGGGAAAAGCTGAGCAAGTTGCTATACTGATAGAGTGATTGCAATATGAAAGGTCGATCTCAGTCCTAAAATGAACAGGACAATTTGCTTCCTTCATCTTCCCCATTCCTATAAATGTGACTGTGATAAAGCAGGTTCAGGACACACTGAATGAAGTGAAGCATAATGACCTGTGAGAATAAAATGTCCTGTCTCTCTGTGTAAACAAGGGTTAAATAGTGGCTTTAATCTCAAGATGGATTTGTTGCTTGCATTTGTTCTATGGGTTCTTTACTACCCATTACTTAATTAAACTGAAAACACAAGTCTGGCTTTATCCTTACTCAGCCTGCGAGCAATCATTAGGTGTCACTAAATCAGGTCTTCATGTGGTTTTACAAATCCTCACTTCAGGGACAGGGTAAGAATTGCTTATTGGATTTGGCTTGGCCATCCTGAAATTGGTGTGTGCTGTCAGATCATGAATAGCACACTTCCGCACGATATGTGCAGCATAAAACGTAGGTTCAGTAGGCCTGCTCTGCTGTTGCATTTCATCAGCCTTGTAAACATACACTTGGGCAAAACCAGAGTCACACACAGCTGAATCAGCCTCCCCGTGTGCCATGGAAATACCCTGCTTTTTTGCAAAAATCTTTCCACAGAAAGCTTTTTGCATCATATCATCATGTTTCTACTTACTGGCACTCTTTAACCCTTTCTCCTGTGACCAATATCCAGTAATACAGAAGTTCCCTGATGACATTGGCTCTTGTAGCATACTTTTCCCTTCTTTCTTTTTCTTTCCTTTTTCAGCATTTTGGGTTTGGGTCTCTGGCTTATTTTCTTTTTGCCCATTTCACCCTGAAAACAATGTCAGCTCATACAGTGGAGCAGTCTGTAACTTTTGCTTGGTGTTTTAAGTTTCATACTCCTCTCCTAGCATTTTCCATCTAGGAAGCCAGGATTTGAGATCCCTCCTGTGTTTAATTTAGTCAGCCTTTCAGATTAGCTCACCACTGCCCATGTGTGTGAGGGAGCAAATGAAACTGAACATGAGCCTCATGATTGCTACTTGCCAATAAGACTGGGTTTCAACTTTTTTGTAAGAACAACAGAGTCAGCTTAGTGAAAACATTTTATTCTTGTAAACATCTGTACAGACAATGAGAAAAAGACCAAACAAGCCAGAAAGCCTTGAGGGTGAAAAAGGTATTGGAAACACAGGCTTTCTGCTACTAGAGCTCCCAGGTGACAGGCAACCTGGGCTTGCTGAGCTACTTCTGAGACAGGCAGGCAGGTTGCTGAGTCAGTGCTCGTAAAGTGTCCTTCGAGAACGAATTAAAAGCAGTGAAGAATATGCTTTGCTTCCTCAGAAGGATTTTATTCCTTCCCCCCCCCGCACTGTTTTGAGCAGCTTTGGCTGGAGGAAATGGAGACAACTGCCATTATCACATAAAAGTGAGACCACTTCCTCCAGGACAAAAGCCACAGGTATATGGGTCAAAACGGCAGCTGGAGGTCTTTTCAAACATGTGAGCTTTTAATAGGCAGAATCAGAATAATTGCAGAAGGTTTGTACCAGACCACCTGGAAGCAAGCTTCAGATATTTACCAATAATGATAAGGCACCCCTGCCTAACCTTTCTTGTTACAGGAATTTTACACAGCTTGATTCAATCCAGGCTGAGATAACAAGCCTCATGTATGAGGTTCTCAGGAGACTTTGTTCAGCTGATTTTCCAAATAAGCACCATACTTTTAATATTGTCGTAAATGCACGCTAATTACCCAGGAACCTCAGACGTATTTGGTAAAGCTGGTTGTCACAGCAGTTGTTGCCACGCTATGTGGTCTGTTTTGCATTTAGCTCTTTGGTATGGTAAAATTACAAAATAGCAGGCTCACTGTGGGGACAAAAGAAACAACCCGCCAAGCCTCTTTCTTCCTAATATGGTGAAATAAAAAGCCTTGGTTTGAGCTGGCTAAAGTGCTGATGGAGTCAAAGCCCAAGGATCAGTCTGGTGTGGTGTGTGAAAAGAACAAGGGTCATGGTCAAGGTTCACACTGGGAGGGCAGGAAATGTTTAAATTCCCTGACCATGACTAAATGATGGGAGTCAGGGATGCTTTCAGGGAAAAAGCCCTCTTCTCATCTCAGCCAATGTTTGATTTCAGAGCAGCGAGAGCATTCCTTCCTGTGCTTGTTGGTGTGGGAGCTCTAATTGTGCTATATAGCAGATGTAGGGACTGATTTTTCACAAAGGTTTGTACAAAGCAGAGGTATGAATTGCTCAGTAAGCAGCAGCATGGGGGTATCAGGCAGAGCCCCGAGTTACAGAGGAGGATGGCGAGGGACAGGCTGCAGCTGAAGGACAGGCACAGGCACCAGCAGTACAATGTCCATTGAAAAGGGGCCCCAAACACTGCTGGAGTGCCAGGAAGTTTTGCCTTTTTCCGTGTTTGTGTTCACTATCACCTTTAAAACAAAAGAGCACAGCTTTTCACAGCAGTAAGCAATTGGCCGTTTCCCCCATCCCACCAGCTCCCAGCCAGAGATTAAGTTTTCTGTCTTCTTCTTAGGGGTTCTGCTTCTTCTGGTTAAAGTCTCTGTCTGGGGACACTTGGTGAGTATTAACTGATTATATTTAAGTTCTGTGAGACTTGCTTTTTTTGGTTTTTCCTTGCCGATGATGATGCAGGGAAGAGAGATAGGTGAATCCATAAAAAAAAAAAAAAAAAAAAAACGAAAAAGAACAAACCCAAAAAACCCACCAAAAAAAAAACCCAAACCAACAAAAACAGAGGCAAACTCATCCAGATACCTAATTCCAGTAATTATGATTTATCAGGTATCACAGTCATCTGAACAAAAGCTGACTGAAACTCTTGTGTCTCCCCAGGGGGAGAGCTACATGGAAAGCACTTAAATAGCTTTAACCACACTTGTGTCAGAAATTCTTTTCAGATTTGGTGACAGTGGCTTGTTCTAATTAAAACAGTAACACTTTCAGTGCTATGTCTAAAAGCAAACAATCCTTTGCTGTTGACGAGGAAAAAAAAGCATAGAAACGCTGAAAATAGGGCTTCTTTTCCTGGAGGACGTGTGTTTCTACAGCACCATAGTCCATTTTCTTCTGCTGAAATATTGCTACCATCAAAAAGCCCTGTTTCCCAGCAGCCGACCAAGAGCACAATGGCAGGTTCAGCACCTGAATCATCTGTATTTTTCTTACCTTGATGTGCAATAAGATGTCATTAATCCTGCTACGAGGAAAAAGGGGGAAAAGCAGGGGAAAGTACTACCTTGTGTTCAAAAAGAGGCAAATGCCTGAGCTTTGACTTTTTAAAGCATTGATAATGTCCACAGCTGGATTTGTTGTGCTCCATTGTTTCCACCACAGCTCCCCAACCTGGGGCTCAGACCTGACCCCGAAGGAATTGCCTGGGACCACACAGACAAAGCCAGGAGGCTCCAGGAGCCTCAAGGCAGCAGCCAGTCCTTTGCTTACAAGGGAGGATACAGCAGAGGCAGCAGCCTGAAGGAGAATGGGAGAAGCATGTCCAGTCAGCTTTATTAAATAATATGTTTATACATCCATTATGAAAACTTTGACAAGGAGGGAAATACTGAAAAGGAAGCATCTTTTTTTTAGTGGAGTAAAAGTGATGCCTGTGGTTTTAAACAAAGGCCTGTTGGCAGGATGATGCCATAAAGAAGAGGAAGAGAAAAGGAAACTGCGTTTGAATTAAGTCAGATAAGTGAAGGACAGAAGACCTTATGACAGAATTTTCCATTAATTCCTGTAGTCTAGCTCTCTGCCATAATTATGTTACCTCCTAAAACCTTGTATAAATATTATTGTGGTTATTATTACTGTTTACTGTAACTATGTAACTACATTTACAAAGGCCGCTTACAATATTGCAGCCATAGTAATGCAAAGGAGCAAAGTCAGGCAAAACTTTCATGGTGGGTGTCTTGTAAGTTTTGAATGAACTTATATAACTGCCTTCAGCTGCAAGAATTTACACTTGGGAAAAGATGAGAAGAAAGGAGTAAGGAACAAACTTCTTTTTGGTTCAATCACTGTACTGAATTGTAACTTGAAATTTAATTTTTAGTGAATTATAGGTTTTTTGAACCTGTGATGAAATCCTCCTGTTTGGCCTAAAACATACTTCATTTCAAAGACATACTTTGTTAAGGTTTCTTTTAACATAATTTAATTCAAGAAACAATGAATACTTTTTATAGGGTTTTCAAATAAAATGTAATTATTCTTCTAAATTAAAATATTTCATGTTTTTAATTCTTTTCTGGAGCCAATATGAGTTTGTAAAATATTTCAGGTTTCCCAAGTCTGATTATTTTTCCCCAAATAAGTTTGCACTGAAGCATTTCAGCCAGTAAACAAACAGGAAGGGATAGAAAGAGAAACTGAGGCACAAAGAATTTGAAATATTTTTCCAGTGTCTCACCAGATGGATATCAGTTTTAGAAATAGAAATTGCATCTCCTGAGTCCCTGTCTAGGGTGTAAAACACTAAAGGACATTAAAGAGGTAAATCATCAGATTGAAAAGAAATTTCCAACCATAACTATTATGCGCAGCAGAGATCACGGTGACCACCAGAACTGTGCACTTTGCCTCCAACATCTTGTTCCCTGCTCCCTTGCGCAGTCACGGGTGAAGCCTTAATTGTGTGCTCTGTGTGCATGGTACAGGTTAGCCTGACAGAAAGATATTCTTAATTTCATTGCTTTCTCTTTTCAGAAAGTCTTTCTCTCGTTGTCGAAGAATTAATAGGATGCTTTCCAACGAGTCAGGACCTCCTCCTGCATTCAGTCGCTCTAACTCACAGGCCTCCATGGATAGCACCTCCATGGAGGACTTCTGGTGTGAAGTGGAGAGCATCAAGGAGAGCAGTGAAGATGGAGCTGACGAAGCAACGCTCTTGGAGTTCAAACCTGCTGATGGTGAGCACACAAACACTGCTTCTTCCTCACACTTTGGCTTTGCCTCGTCTCTTTAGTCATGCCCTGATCTCCCTCCCTGTGTCACCCAGTATGAGCAAAAGTGCTAGGCTGTTTCTGTGGTCACTGTAGCTCCACTTCTGGATATCATGGTCAATTTACAAGATGTCACTGGAAACAAACAATAATTCAGTCTGGTTTATGCACTGGGGCTGGTAATTGACTTCCGAAGTAAGTTTTTTGTATTGATTTTATTTGTTCTTCAAGAGGGCAGATATGGTGTAATTCAGAACAGAGAAGCACTAAATGAAAACTTCATCTCCAGCATTAAATAAACTAAACCAAAACATATAAAAGGGCCACAAAGTTCATTTAGTATACTGGAATTTTCAATTTTCTACCATTTGGTTGGATATGTAAGTTACAAAAGTCTTCAAGCAATTTTTATTTAGGTATCATTTGGTGTTATCAGAAATTTGATAACTGCTTGTTTGTCTGAGATTGCTCAACTCAAATATAATTCAAGGAGAGATTAGAGATAAATCTGAATATATGGATGCCTACATTATTCAGACTCCCCACCTGTCAAAATTCAATCATCACTTATACAAATTATGCTGAAGGTATTACAACCTCATTCTGTTACCTTAATATTTTCCCCTTTCCTTTATCCTAATATATTTGGAAAAACATATAGTAGTCTGCACTAGCTTGTTGCAATGCAGCTTTGGGTTAGATTATTTGATAACATCTAGAACAGCAGTTCTCATTTTTTCCAGTTATGACCCCACTTACAAATGCATTATATTGTGCAACACAAAATACCAGGTGTTAGTACAGGATGAAAATGAGGTCATGACCCACTGATAACTGCTGCAACACTTTTGTGGATCACAGCCACTAGTCTGGTAACTACTGATCTAGGAATAGATTTTGAAACAATGATATGTTCTTTCTGTACAATTATTAACACGAGTGATGATGTGTTTTTCTTACCTTGACATGCAATGGGATGTCATATTCTGCTATCAGAAAAAAGGGGGAAAACTTTATTAAGCAACCAAATATGTAATCATAACCAGTCATGATAAGTATCCCTCACAGAGAAACCTAGCTCCAACTATGTACTGTTTCCGTGGGGAATACCTCCCACTTGCTAGTTCCCAGTAGGGGTCTCCAGGAGGCAAAAGGAGAAGACATTTGTTCACCAGAAGTCTTAGTCTGATATGAGGATTATGGTCTAGCAGCTTTAATCCAAACTGCGCTTCTTTGTGCTGGCCTGTGGTCTCAAATAAAAGTAGGTTGAGATGTAACATTGAAACTTTATGGTTATTGTTACGGGAAGGCAGAAGAACAATCTGTCTCAATCAGTTTGACCTTGTTGGGAAAATTCCTGTGTGATCATACTCTTTAGCTTCAAGACCCCAGAAGGAGATTGTTAACATCTCAGTGTCTCCTTCATACAATTGTCAGTGTAAACTGGGTGTCCCTGAATTGTCTGCAGGGCCAAGAGAATGACACATATCAGTGAGTTACCAAACTGGGTAAGTTAGCAGGACAAGGCAATACAGGACCCCATCTTCCATGTTCTCAGAAACTTTTACATCAGTTTCATCACTCCTGAGCTAAATCTTCACAACAGTGTAAACTCTGCTGCATTCCGCTGTTACCCTTTGTCTGATTACATCTCATTACATTCCATTGATTTTTTCCCCTCTGTCCTGAACTGAAAATGAGACAGCAAGGTAAACTGCTGTCATTTTCCACAAGTCATTTACCTTCATATTGTTGTTTTAAACACATATGTATTGCATACACACACACACAACACCAGGCAGTGCTTGTAATAGTTATTAACTTCAGGCATAAATTCAGACTGGGATAATAAATCTTGGAAATCATAGTGAGTAGTTCTATTAAGCTCTAATAGGATAATACTCCTTGCTGAGGATCAAAACACTGAAAATCTATGTGGAAGTCCTCAAAGGAAAAAAAAAGCAAATACTCGTCACCCTTTTAAGATGTCTTTGAGAAGAAGAGATGCAGAATCCTTACGAAGGAAGCCAAAGGGTGGTAGCAGCCAGGCATCACTGATACTGTCAAAACCATGGTGTTATTTTTTGGCAGATCACATGTGCAAGGGGAAGACATCAGCACACTTACTCTGTTGACATTAGTAATTATGGTCAAGAAAGAAGGTCAGATCATAACAAGTGATACAAGGGATGTAAATGTAAGGGAAGAGGAAGTCATGGAGTATTTAAGATGGCAGTGATATGCAGAACTGCTTTAAAACTTGGTGTTACAAGGCTGAGATACTGTGAGTTATTTGGGGTTATAATTCACAAATTCAAAGGCATATGTCTTTCCTAGCAAGGAAAAACATCAGAGAAAAAGAGAGTTACCAACCAGAGCGTATCCCTGTCTTCTTGCATATCTGGCAATATCAAGACCTTGTTGTACAAGTAGTTACCACTATAAAAATAATGTTTTGTAAAAGAACATGGTGGGGGTTTAGCCCTTATTTAAACCTATGCATGATAAAATTTTGAGGGTTTTAAATGAAGAAATTCCTTCTTTTTAATAGTTTGCTTCTCTGTTTGTTGTTGGTATTTCTTAGTCTACTGTTTGTGAGGGGTTGGAACAGGAAAATGGCAAAAGCCAGAGAAAACAAGTTACAGAGGTGTCTGGTAAACATACAGAATTCCATGTTTGCTTTACTATTTTTCATAGCATCAGAAAGGCAAGTTTAATTAAAAACTCAATTATTCGGAAGAATATGTCAGGACAAAATCCAAAATGAATATAATTAAGAAACTGAAACATGAATGGATGCATATAGAACAGCAGCATATGGAAATGAAGATAACTTGTTAGAAAGAAAGGAGAGGATGGCAGAAGAGTCCTTGGTTCAAGGTGGAAAGGAACAGATACAGAACGGATCAGAGCAGAGACCAGTTGTTTCAAGGGATACAGGGCCTGTCATACCTCTGTCTAACACAAAGCAGGGGGCTGAGAAGCAGATATGTTTGTAGATCTTTATAAAGAGACGAGGCATTTAACGACGAAGTCAGTGATGGCAGATGTAAGATGCTTTCACTTTTTCCTATGGTCCAGTCCTGTATTTTTCTTTTGTGTATCTAACTGCCAAAGCACAGCAAACTGGTATCTACCAATCTGCCTGCATTCTGATGTCAAGAAGAGGCAATAAAGGGAAAGTGGAAATACCAACCTGCCATTAAGACCAGTGCTGGGACAAGAACAATAGTGCATTGACTGGTTGTTTCATAGAACATGCTGCAAATTAGTCTATTTCCTGTTTGACGTGTTTGTTTGTAATACTTCTTTAGTCAAAGCTGGAATGCAATTATTGTCTTGTCTCAAGCAGCATATTGTTGAGCTGGGATTGTTCAGAGAACTAAAACAAAAGACGTCAAAATCTCCTATAGTGAAATTCTAAAATACTATGATTTCTTTTAAAAGCAGATAAAAAAAACCAGTTATAGCAAAATTTAAATTTACTGAATGATTTAGAGATGATAGATCACGAGCTTCTGTCTGTCCTACATTGCCAGAGGATAAGATTTAATGTAACAGCTATCTAGCTGAAACCCTGTATTGGCTTTGCGTGGCAAGATTTTGGTGGCAGGGAGGGGGCTGCAGGTGTGGCTCCATGAGTAGGTGCCAGAAGCTTCCCCCATGTCCGATAGTCAGGAAAGAAAATGCTTTTGCTGCATAATCTCACTATGCAACCAGCTGCAGTGTTGAACCAGTTGAGAAATGGGTATTGAACAGGATTCAAGAAGATACTAGTCACTAATCAAGAAATGCTGGGGTGCAGAGTGCTAGCAAGTCCTAATCATTAGAAATCAGGATGATGTCTAGCATGGAAGGATTGCTACTTTTGTATCTTCCACCCCTACGTGGCCTCTTTGATACCTACCCCTACCTGATCCTTGCTTTTTAGTGAGCAGCTCCAGCTCTTAATCATCTTGTTCAGAACAGGCTATTGGACCAGGTGGACATCATATTTCTCTCAGTGTGACATCTTCACTAGGTGTCTGATGAACAGCTGACTCTCTGGCATGTCAAATATTGTGTCTGATGTGCAAATGTATTATTCTGTTGTATGCACCACTTCAGTATTTTTGCTTATTTTAATTGGAATACCAATTTAATTTCCACCTGCCAAATGGCTTACCAGTGCAACATGTTATAAATGGTAACTGAGGAGATTTATGTTCTTGAATGAGGAGTTAGTTTTTAGCGACCCTGCCATGTCAGACTAATTACCCTCCTGCCTTCTTCAAACAAATACATTGATGCACAGGTTAAAAGTTCCTCTTCTGTTCTTTTCCTAAGACTCTCCTGTGCAGACACTGCCAAACTGAAAATTGACAGTATGTTGAAAAAACTAAATTTACTTACACTTGTGGCCTAAGAAAGATTGGAATCGGAGTCTTCTTGAGGTAAAAGCTAAGGCAGCAGTCCGTCATGCCACCTCCCTTCCCTCAGTCCCCTCTCCCTCCCTTGCCAGGCTTGGTAACACGCTCTCTTCCTCCACAGAAGGGGAGCTGGAAGCAGAATGGCTGCAAGACGTAGGTTTATCTACATTGATCTCGGGAGCTGAAGAGGAGGATGGCCAAGCCCTGCTGTCCACTCTGACCCGAACTCAAGCTGCTGCAGTACAGAAGAGGTACAACACCTACACTCAGACGCTGAGGAAGAAGAACAAGCACACAGTCCGGGATGTGCGAGACATCTTTGGCACCAGTGACTCCTCTGTAAGTAGTTAATGGTTCCTACTGAATGCCTTTGAGCTTGATTTATATGCATTTTGCAAGTAGTTCATCAAAGCTTCTACCAGACAGGACCCCTTTTCTGCCGACAATGTACAGACAGCCAATAGCAGTTCCTGACACTAAGTCCAGACTTTTAATATTGTATTTACTATGTTTTGAGACGAAAGGAAGAAAACAAATAAAATTGGTGGTGCAGAGTTTTGCAACTAACCTTTAACATAATGTTGTATCTGTTGCCAGCCTTTCTCCTACAATCTCCTATCAAGACTAACATTTGCTCCCTTATTTTTTGGAAATTGGTGAGTTACTCTTGGCAGCTATTAAAATTTTTGCTGGCTTCTGGGGGCACTTGCTATTTACTCAGCAGTCTCAGTGGTGAGTAAAACTTCTCTAATGAAGCAACTGGGCTTCAAATATGCATAAGTAATTAAATCCCTGCCAGCATGATTGCAACTGGTACACTGGCAGTTACATTTCACATACGTAGCAAATGAAAATCTATTAACTGTTCATTTGCTTCATGGCTTCAGAAATGAGAACACCTCTGGTGTTTTCACCCACTTTCCCCTGAGA